CTAAAGCTAAAGACCTCAAATATATCTCAGTCAACTAATAAAGGGACAAATATTATCCCACGAAAATAAGCATTTCTGAAATTTGTACGAGGTATCTTTTAGGCCCACCTAAAGTTGCCCGAAATCTCGGCCCTTTTCGACCGCTTAAGAGCCCAAAATCATGATGTGGTGATATCTCGAAGAAAAACGAACGCCTACCTCGGCAAATGTCATGGTTGTTAATCTTTTCGGGTAGCTTTTGTACAGTGAAAAGATGAAGGTGAACGGCCGACCTCGATCTTTTGGTACTGCCCGGTTTTCTCTGACAATGACACTTAAACATATACATTAAACACATATATGTTGAATTTTGTTCCTCTGATGTAATTGAGATCATCAGTGACTAAAAATAAGACATATGTTGTTGTTGTTGTTGTTGTTGTTGTGTAGTTCTAGGCATTTAAAGTGCTACTATGATGAAATTTTTATCCCTTGATTTTTTAGGTTAATCACATAGAATTCTACGAAAGATTAAAGACGCCGTTTACCGTTTACAAATATCTGCATTGGTTTCGGAGATATTTAGGTTTGAAAAATGAGTAAAATATGCAAATGAGATGACCGAGACGTCATACACTCAACCAACTATTACATCAAGTATATAAATAGCGCTATCTTGGTCAATTTGCAGCACAAACTATTGAAATTTGGTACGCTAATAGTTCTAAATGCAACACACCTATAGCTATAACAATTTTCGTACCCATAGCAACCCACTCTTTTCCAGTCCCCTCTAGCCTGATTTCAATATTTTAGTGATTTTAAGCTTGGAAATATTAAACAAGGCTATGAACTCAACCAAACGTATTTATATACTTACTGGATCATGCAGATGAGGCACCATTGGCAAATATCGATATAGAACGCTAAAAGTGGTCAGAAAAGCCTTCAATATCGTGGAGGTCTGGAACCTAATATGTTGCCATGGTAATAAGAATTGTTAGTAGAATCTTACTGTAAAAAATCAAACATTCCTGATACAAATTGACTGAGATATCCTTGTTTATTATAATTGATGAAAATTCGGTTGTGTATGACGTCATCACTTGACTAATTTGCATATTTTGAAAACTTGAATATCTCTGCAACGAAAAGAGACATTTGGAAACAGTAAACAGCATTTTTACTCTTGAACAGAGTACTTGCTTATGTCTTAAAATGGCTTAGATTTGTAGGATGCGATTTTCGTCATAGTAACACTTTAATTTAATATAATCCTGTGAGGTCTTGATGGAAGTGATTATGCCTTATTGGTGTATATTTAATCATAAAATAACTCAAGTTATTCTCGCATTTTGATTGTTCTCGCCTATGATCTATTAGAGGACAGAGGCACGATTGACGTCATCATTTCAAAGCTTTTCCCTCTGTATTTAAAATGGCGGAAAGTTTTGAAAATTTAGATACTATTTTACGTGACTGGAGAAAGATAAGGTACAAAAACGTCTTGCCGAGGCATTGAACGGGTACGAGAGGCTGGAAGAATTAGAAGGAAAAAGCCGTTTGTTTTCCAGAAAATGACTCAGAAAAAATACTCGAGCAGTCTCAGTCGACAGTCGAGCGAGACTAAATCAAACACAAAATTGGTCATGAAATTAGTTTAGTCAACTTTTCTCAGTCTCAAAATGATTGTTTACACAGTTTGATTGC